TGGTACATATATACAATGGAATATTACTCAGTCATAAAAAAAAAAAGATGAAATCTTGCCATCTACAATAACATGGATGGACCTAGAGAGTATTTTGCTGAGTGCAGTAAGCCAGACAGAGAAAGACAAATGCTACATGATTTCACTTACATATGGAATTTAAAGAACAAAACAAATAAACAGAAACACACTCATAGATAAAGAGAACATTTTAGGTTTGCCAGATGGGAGGAGGGTTGGAGGGCGGGGTGAGTGAAAAAGGACAAGGAATTAAGAAGTAAAAGTTGGTGGTTACAAAAAAGTTATGAGGATGTAAAGTATAGAATAAGGAATATGCTCAATATTGTAATAATTATGTATAGTGTCATATGGGTACTAGATTTATCAGGGCGATTACTTTGTAAGTTATATAAATGTCCAATCACTATGTTATATACCTGAAACTAATATAACATCGCATGCCAACTTTAATTTAAAAATTATTAAAATAAAAAAATATATATAAACAGTCAGCTTCAAGTAGTTTAACTAGGTATATAAGAAAACTATTGTTTGGAATCTAAAAATAAAATAACACACTTTGAGTGCACTTATAAAAAAGAAGAATGTCTTGAATTATCTTTACATTTTATATTATCATATAAATTTTAGAATCAGCTCATTGTGTTTCATAAAAGAATCTTGTCATTTTAATTGATACTGCACTGAATTTATTGATCAACTTAGGGGAAATTTATATGTTTACAATATTGCTTTCCAATCCATGAAATGGTATGTCTCTCTATTTATTTAGGCCTTCTGTAAATCTCTCAAAATGCAATAGTTATCTTAATTGAGATCTTGTAGTGGACTATCCAATACAGCTACTGACCTCAGAACCATCCCCGTACTCCTCCCTGGTGCCACCATTCGCCTCAGGTGTTTCTGTCCACAGCTCCTCTCTCTCCTCAAGCTTAAGCCAATCCAACAGGGACAAAGACTCACTCTTCCACCTCTATCTTCCCAAGCCATTTACCTGTTCACCATTTCTCTTTTAAGCTATTCCAAATACTGTAGCCCATCTCTACACCACCTCAGTAATGAGCATAATTCTCTATTAGTTCTCATGCTTCCTGCTGGTGATGCACAAAGTTGCTGGCAAGTGGCCCTGATGTGGTGGCACTTGCTGTGGAAACTTCACTTGAGTCCTTAATTCCATATTACGTGGCCTGTACATCCTCATGATAATGCTCAAACATCAGAAAGGTTGGTTTCTCAACCTTTACATTTAGCAGCCCTAAAAATCCTATAAGTTTACAATTCCTGTCTAAGGTCTGAGGATACCTGCAGGAGGCCTTGAGGCCAAGGAGGCTGGGGTGAACATTGATGAAATGTATCCCTTTGCATCTCTCAGTGCAATGCACAGATGGATTCTCCACAAGGACAGATTGACATATTCCACATTTTCTAATTACTGTTCCTTAGGAGGCATATTATGTGATTTCTCTTAGCTTTACATTCCTCATCTGCAAAATTGGGATTACCTGTCTTGGCAGATACTGTAAATTAGCTGACTCAGTATCCATTTCAAACATATTATTTCCTGCTTTACTCTACTACAGAAGCTGGCAATTGAAATACTTACATCTCAGCTTCTTTTTCAGGTAAATGTTGCCATGATGTGACATTAGCTCTGGTAATGAGACACAGTAAGGAAACTCCAGGGAGTCCTTCCCTTCCAGAATAAAAGGCAATGCCTGACAAGGAGGAGGCTATTGTTTTTTACCATTTGCTTTTGGCCTCCTTCAATCCCGCTTTTTTCTGCTCAGAACTTGGATGAGATGTCTAGGGATTCAGCATCTATTCTATTCTATTCAAGGATGAAAAACATACTAATCGTGGTGGAACAGGTAGACAGAAGAAACCTAGTTCTTCATAATGGCCTTGACCAGCCATATAGTCCTGGATTTTCTAACTTGAACACCTGCTTATGTGGGGAAAAAAATAAGCTCCTTACTTGTCTGAGTAAGTGGTAAAATTTTTTAATGCTCATGGCCAAAAGCATTCCTAATATACTTATTTACGGGGTCATGATAAGGATAGAAGACGGTATTTGTAAAGCCCCAACAGTACCTTATATTTGGTGGTTACTCAACAAATTGCAGCTATAATTGCAGAACCCTGTGTGTGAATATGTCTGTTCTAGACAGACTAGGAACTTCCTGAAGACAAGGCTCAATAAAATGGACTGGGCATACAGTGGCAGTCAGTATGGACTGAGTTGAACTGAACTGAAATGTTAGGAATTCTAGCAGAAGATAGATGCATCAATCAGTTTGTTGTAATAAATGGAAGTCACTCTCAAGTATTTTATGCAGAAAGAGATTTAATACAAGAAATTAAGTATGTTTTGGGAAGAGATTTGTGGTATGGAAGTCAGGGTTCTGCCACCAGGCTATTGAATAAATTAACACACCACTAACGCTATCAGGAATCCACTGCTGCTGTTACCTCTACAGATACCACAACTGGACTTTTATCCCACGAAGCTGGACACTGGACACTGGAACTCTGAGTCCAGCTTCTGCCATAGCCTCTAAATACTCTCAAACTTGCTTACTACTAGTAGCAGTAAGACGGCTTCCCATCACTTCTTACTTCCAAATACAATTTGAGTACATTTATCGGTGAAAGTTACTTTGAATCCAGGAGTTTAGCTGCAAAAAAAGTCTCAGAGACATAGTTGTTAGCTTTTCTATCTCCCTAACAAGAAATTGAGAGGCCAATCTTCTACAGCAGGGACATGAAGAAGAGAGGAGATGGGTAACATGTGGGGAGGGAGGAAGAGCTGTGATCAATGTTTTTCTTGCAGTTCCTTGAGGCAGCAAGGAAAGGGGACCATCCACAATATTTTCTGATCACTGATGGTTTTGCAAGAATACATTCTGATAGACAAGCCGACAGCTCCTGGGGAAGGAGTAAAGCAGACAACATGTTCATATGTGTCTCATTCTCTTAGTGAAGTAGAAGCAAATATGGATGAGCTGGGGGAAGCCGTACCACAGGGAGCAGCCTCTGTGAATCGACATGCTCCTGTCACTTTTCTTTTCTCTGGCTCCAGTGAAGTCAAGGGAAAGGAGGGAGGGACTTTCATCCTAGTCTCTCATCTGGACTTGATCAGGGAGACACTAACTGTCTGAGACTCGGCTGGAAAGTCTATGAGGTCTTCTACTCTAGCATCCTTCCCACCAACACCCAGAGCCACCAATATGGCTTCCTCATCACTCTGTGCCATGTCCTATGCAAATTGCTTTGTGTATGGGCTTCATTCAACAGTCAACAAACACTCATTTAACAAACATTGGAAACGTAGAATGCTATTTGTGTAGTAGGCTCTGATCTAGGTAAACAAAGGAAACAAAAAGATCTTCTCTTATAATAGATATGAGAGCCAAGGCCCTCACATGTGGGAAGTCTCACATTTATTTATTTTTGTAGGCCATAATTAATCGGTCTCTGACTACTTAAACACTTTAACATATAAAGAAGTGCTTACCATATCTATCCCAGTGCTTTGACTCCTTTTCCCCACTAATGGGTCATACTTGGATCCCAAGGTTTACCCGGGGCATGGTCCTCAGCCCCATGTGGTTATCATGGTTCTTCTCGAATCTTCTTTTACACCGCCATTGGTGGATACTGACTTACCCGTCATAGTGATCTATCTACTGACCACCAATCTTGTGCTATTACATCCTTCCAAGGTCGGATAAATATTCTTTTATATTTTCCTCTAAAGATTTTAAAGTTTTACCTTTCATAATTAGGTCTTTAATCCATCTGGAATTTATTTTTGTGTATGGGATGAGCTACAGTTCTAATTTTTTCTATGTGGATAACCAATGTTTTCAGCACCACTTACTTCCGATTAAAAATTCTACCTCTATCATATATCAAAAATCCATATAGATATAGACGTGTCAGTGGACTCTCTGTTATGCAGGATTTTCAATTCTTTAGAGTTTATTCCAGCAACACACTCTCTTAGTTACCATAGCTTTACACTAAATCTTAAAAATCTGAATATCTGATTGGGGAGTCTCTCCTTCCACATTTTCTTGGCTATTTTTAATTCTTCACTATTCCATATAAATGTCAGCATGAAATTGGTCAGTTCCACGGAAAACCCTCTTGAGATTTTTCCTGCAGCTATATTGATTGTAGGTATCAATTTGGGGATAATTGCCATCTTCATAATTTTGGATTTTCCCTTATTTAAGTATGATATATATCTCTACTTATCTACATTTATTTAGGTCTGTTTTTAAATATTTCGATACTGCTTTATAATTTTTCTCCATTAAAATCCCTAAATGTTTTCGTTAGGTTTATTCTTAATTAATTATTAGTTTTGATTTTGTTTTCCTATTTTGTTTGTATTTTAAATTATAACATAAGTATTTAATACTGCTGTATATGAATGAAATGGCTATTTGACTATTTTCACCTTCTCTACTCTTAGTTCTAATAATTTTACTGTAGATTGTCTTGGTTTGTTTTGTTTTTTTTTTTTTGCAAATAATATTCTGTATATAATGATGATTTTGCTTCTTTATTTTTTAAAAAAATTTGATGGCTCTGTACTAATTGCCTATGCTTTATTAGAGAATTTTTTTTTCCAACATTTTTTTTTTCTTCTGTGCTGGCTAGGATCCCCATTATCTTATTGAAAAGAAGTGGTATTAATGGATATCCTTGTCTATTCTTGACTTTACAGAGAATGGTTCTGACTCATTTGCTGTGGGTTTTTTTAGTATTACCCTTTATTGGGTTGAAGATGCTTCCTCCACTTCTTATTGTGCTAAGTAGTTGTTTTGCTTTTGTTTTTGTTTTTAACTACCATGGGAGTCAGGTGAGTTCTCAGGAATTCTTCTATCGTCCCAGGCACACTTGATCTTTTTCTCATCCTCAGTCTTCCTGGTATAATCTGACCCCTCTTGGTGCAAGGGGAGTTTGGAACAAGCTATCTCAGAGTAGCCATACCATCAGCTGAGTACACACACAACTAGAGTTCTGGAAAGTTTTACTTAGTGCTTTACTTCAGGTCCAAGTGCTATCATCCATTTTTAATGGAGTTTGTTGGTTCTAAAGGTTCTTGCATCTGGGTCCCAGCTCCCTTCATGGGTGTCCTTGCTGCCTTTCTCCTCCACTCTTGAGGAGAAACATACTGCCGCCCTCCCAGGAGACAGGGAGGATCTTATCTGTACCTTTTCCTCTCCCCAAAAATTGTCTTGTCCTTTTCATTTCATTTTATTATTTTTAACTTTGCATTATGAAAAACTTCAAACATATAAAAAGTAGAGAGAATGGTAAAATGAACCCTCATGTCATCACTCAATGTCAACAATTATTATTTTTATTTTTTTATTAAATTTATTGGGATAACATTGTTTAATACAATTACATAATTTTCAGGTGTACATTGAATTTGACATCTGTATATTCTATTGTGTGTTTATCACCGGAAGTCCAGTTTCTTTCACCTATCATATATTTGATCTCCTTTACCCACTTCACCCTACCCCTACCCCCCTATATTTGACCCCTATAACCGTCTACCTCTTCCCCTCCTCCACTACACCCTACCCGTTGGTAACCACTAGTATATAGTCCACGAGTCTCTGTTTCTTCTGTTCCTTGTTACTTTTAGGTTTATATCCCACATATAAGTGATATCGTGTGATTTTCAACTTTTTCTGTCTTGCTTATTTTGCTTTGCATGATTATCTCGAGGTCCTTCCATGTTGTCGCAAATGGCAGTATTTCATCTCTTCTTATGGCTGAGTAATATTCCATTGAATATATGTACCACAGCTTCTTTAGCCAATCATCTATCATAGGACACTTCGGTTGCTTCCATGTCCTGGCCACTGTGAATAATGCTGCTATGA